CAACAGAAAAACATGAGAAGGTATCAGAGTGTATCAAATGTAAACAAGAATGCATATAATGTTATGGGTGCTTTGTTTCAGTTATAAATATGCCCCCCTCCCGCCCCACGGGTGTACTAGGTGACAATGCTAATACACATCTTGGTGTGGATCATGACATAAAAGTTTAAAAATGCTGCTGCGTTAAGAACTTTGGGTCACATAAAGCTGTGTAAGATGTAGTTGCATCCTTAAGAACCTTCTAACTGTTATTCATGTACGAGGCTTAAAAGATGGGTTGAGCTCTGAAGGGTAGAGGAGGAGAGAGGGGTCCAGGGTAGGGACATAGGAGCTGCCTTCAGGGAATACTGAGTAATCTAGGCTACAGCCCCAGGGTATCCTGTATAAGGACTGAAGGCAAGGAAGGTAGTTCAAACCACACTGAAAAATCCAGACCAGTGAGGTGTACTTAATTTGATAATGGCAGGGGAGTAGGAGGTGGTATATATGGAGCTCATCTTTAGGATGTTTAAGTCAGCGAAGACTTATAGGATAGAACAGTGGGCAACTTCAGTAGTGCATGAGGGAGGCTGGAAGAATTATGGCTAGCCTAGATGAAGGGTTCACAGCTGCCTGAGGGTGGGGGTTGGGATCGGCAGTACAGAGAGATATCAGAATGGTGAGGAACAGAACAGGTTTTGAAAAAGCATGATTGTTATACTTACTCTTTTCACAATCCAAATTTCAGAAAGTGTTACTGTGAAATCCCTTTTGGGTGTACGGATGTGCATGCCACTTTAAAAGAACCCTAATTGCCAAGGTCCCTTCTAGTTCCAACCTCTTTTGGATGACTGTATTTCCTGAATAAGCTAAGGCTAAAAGGGGTGATGTAGTTCATCAGCGGCAGAGCTGGAACTAGACCCCAGGCCTTCTGAATTCCAGGACGGCGTTCATCCCATTGCACCCAGTATCTGTGATGGTTTCCATTTCACAAATGTAACAATTAGGCGAGGAGAGATCTGGCTGGAAAAGCTCACTAGCTGGATTCAGATACGCACCCCCTGTTGTTCTGCTTTCTGTCAGACTGCTGTTCTGATGGGCATCACAGGAAACATGAATTTGTAAAACAGGCAGGCCTTCCCCCATAGCCCCTTATGGAGGCAAACACTATTTTGACTATACCACACTCCACATCGTGACCATACACAACTGTCAAAATTAAAAAGATAAAGTACCAAAGCAATGTAGAAGAGCCACAAGCTAGGCCTCCTATCTATCAACCCGTAGTCGTATATACATTTATAAGTTTTTAAAATTAGGGTCTGTTTCTAATTTTCTATTGGTTTATCAATGTCTTGACCTTTTCCCATCCATTATTTAATTAATTTATCTATTTCTTTTTGTCATTCCCAAGTGCACATTTCCCATAAACTTTGAGGACAGTTTATGAAAATGAAAAAACATTTTTCCTCAGTAATGTTTTCATCGTTATAACTTCTGAGAACAATTTCTTGAGAGATGTTTTGGGAGTTGTATTCCAGAACATATTATCTTCGTGGTCTTCCCCTGGTAGGAAGGATAAATGATCTTGCCTTGAGAGTTGCTCTGAATTTTCCAGTTTCAGTATAAAAGATAAATATTCCCCTTACAGAAGCTGCAAGAGTAGACTTCAAGCAGGCCTGAAGTTTGGTCTTGCCAGGGGATGACATGCCTGGGAGTGATCTCGGAACAAAGACCCATTCTCACAGGACACACTGAGCGACTGGAGTCAGTTGTTACCAGTTACTTGTGTCTGGTGAGTGTCCTGAGCATTTGGGAGGCAAGGGAAGTGGCTGAGTTCATAAACCTTCCCTGAGGAAGGAAAAAAGAGCTTCTCACCATGGAATGGGAACACCACTCTTGTCAGGGGTGTTAATGAAATCTGGGTGAGGGGAGCCCAACCTGCTAACTGGGAGTATTGCTGACTCCTGCTCTGTGTAGTGTCTCTGTTTCAGAAGTTGCTCTCTTCACCCACAAGGCGTCTTCCGATCAGTTACACCATGGTCCCTAATGGCAGCCCAGTGCCAACTGGTCACGGTGCAGAGCAATATATGCTTTTCAACTGATGGAATGATTCTGGGTGTTGTGAGCAATCAGGAAGGGAAAGGGAAGTGCAGCTGGAGTTGGGATTTTGCCGGATGAGAAAGGGTGTGCATGTGGTTATGTAGACAGAAGCAGAATTTAAGCAACACATCACATAAAACATGGAGGTACGTAAATGCACAGACATATTCAGAAAATGGCAGAGATGGATTTGGCTGGGGTTGTAGTTCGAAGAATCTCATTTGCTACAAAGGAAATTTAAGTTCATCCTGCAGAAAATCTCAGACACAGTCTTATTAGTATTGTTATCCTACTGGGATTCTCTTCTTGGGTGGTCTGGGTTCAGAAAGAAGAGTGGCAACAGTAAGTGGATGAACTGAATATCAGTGTCCAAAGGCCTGGAGACCAATCTGAACTTGTTGCAGGATTCATGGCCCCA